TGTGTGTGTGTGTGTGTGTGTGTGTGTGTGCGTGTGTGTGTGCGTGTGTGTGTCTGTTCCTGTCTCCATCTCTCCCACCACTCCTTCCCCTTGATATAACTTGAAATTAGAAATCTGGTTTCACAGCAGACCCTGCAGAACTCTTTTCTTTTAATAAATTGCGTCCTTACTATAATTTGGGTAACAGATCAAGCTGTTCTGACAGTTAGCCCTTTCATTTTGGATTGTCAACAAAACAATGAGTCATTTCGTCAACCGATGCACTCCCTACCCATGTCGTTTCTGCAAACGCCAGTGCAGCAGCAGCAGCGTTTATGAGTCATTTTTGTCCCCCCCCCCCCCAACCTCTCTTTTTAGAATCACCATCATCACCAGGTGCAGCTATCACCTTAATAATTTTCATTCAACGATACGTAATTGTAGGCGGTTTTTTCGACACAATTTAGATCTATTAGGAGGCGGGCTTCGGACCTTGCCTGGCAGGGTCAATTGAAGGATCCAACATCGCAGCAGAGAGACCGGGATACTCAATAGGAATTCCCTCCCCCCCACTCGGGAATCGAACTCGGGTCTCCTGCGTGCGCCAGCAAAGCATCTAACGGCTACACCATGTACACCGGTTCAATCAAGGATAAAACTAGAAATAACAAATCAAACAGCATGCTGAAAACGTAAGGGGAGAAAGGTAACGTTACTGTACAATGGCACCTGAAACTGAAACAATCATTATCATAGCCATTTGGTCTTTCAGGTACACCCAGGCGCAAGTACGTATGTTGGAACAGGACAATAAACTAGCATCCAAGATGATAGAGAACTCGCATTTCTTCCACACAGACAACAGTGGAAGTGAGTACATACCAGCATCATCATCATCATCAGCATCATCATCAGCATCATCATCTTGTTGAAAGCTTGACGATTTTTAAAAAAAGACAAAGCATTGCTCGAAAGTGTAGAATTTCCAAATTTATAACACTGAAAAAGTTCAACTTTTGCCCTGAGAGCTTTTCCGGGAACACGAAAAATTTATCATCACCATCCCCATCCCCATCACCATCACCATCACCACCATCATCATCATCATCATCATCATCATCATCATCATCATCATCATCATCATCACAGACAGAGAAAATGAGAGACAGTAAATTTTCCATGATTCGGTGACCAAAACAACCAATAATTTTTTAGCGTCATTTATTTTCTCTTGCCTCATGGTAGTCTTTGCAAAAGTGGTAACGTCTTTCCCAATTAATTATACATAAATGAATCATAATTCGGAAATTATTCATGAAGACAACCCCATACTTTTTCCTCATGAGGCACTCAAAATCCCCAATCGTATGTTGCACCACGCAACACGAACTTTTGTATTAACGTATTATTTTTCAAAAGATATCCGTATCTCAAAGGGATCCCCAGAACCCAGAACCCATTCTACAAGTAAATTCCTTTCGTTACTACTCTTTGACAAATATATGTGGACAATAATTTAATTACGTGACTTACCCCTCCCAACCCCTTACCCTCCTACTCCCCCCCCCTCCCGCCCCTCAACCTTCGTTTTTTAAAGTTGTAGTAAGAGGTTTATGGCAATTGGAACACAATAAGGTCATATAAGTGTCGAAGATAAAATAGGTTACAATAGAAAAGTGACAAACACAAATGGAAGGAGGAGAGATAAGAACTACTATAGTTGTAAAGTAGCAGATGTTTTATAGGAAAGAAGGAGCAAACACACAAGAGCACCCACCAACCTCCTACACCTCTTCCCCCAACCTTGAAACAACAATTTTTTACTTTTATTTTTTTCAGTGAACCAGTTCCGATCTGTCACAATGCATGACTTCGTTCAACCGGACGAGATGACAGGAGGTAAGTTCAATCCCGACTTCACACTTTAAAATTACTCCTCTTGCTGTCTATAACTGACTAACCTAATGACACCATGCTGCATTTTGATGCAGGTAATCGGTGTTAATTTAGTTTTAGTAAGTGTTTTACGGCACTAGCAACACAATTAGGTCATATAAGTGCTGAAAATCAGAGGTGTTACCTTCGACTTTCACCCACCTATCAGGCAACCCAAGTTTCTTGATTTTCAACACATTTTCTTCTGCTTTTACTGTCACTAGGCGACCATCGCGAAGGTCATTTTCAATCTGCATTTGAATTTTTACACCAAAATTTTATCACAGCATGGGATGGGCAATCAGTTCCACATACACGGCATGCATCTGCGTAAAAATATCCTGTAGTTGCTTACCTTGCAAGAAAAATAAACCTTCATTGCTGCCCAGTGCTCAATTTCTCAATTGAAACTGGAGAACCTCATACCCCTATTCACTTACAGAGCACTGGTGTTAAAACCAAAAATGGGAAATTCCCCAAAATTTACACGCATTAAAAAAATGATGATTTTTGGCTTTCTCCCCAAATTTCAGTTTTTTACCTTTATTCCTTCATGGTCAGGTTAACAAAAACTTTTGGTATGCCCCGCGTACATTACACATAAACATACACACACACACACACACGCACACACACTCTAACACTCATACACACACACACACACACACACACACACACACACACACACACACACACACACTCACACACACACACACACACACACGCACATGCACAGCGCAATCACATGAACTTACTCTTTACACTTATCTTTTCCCTCACGGGTGATTTTTTATTCAATGAAACATCAAAATAAAAATTAAAGTAGAGAAGACAAAGAAAAAGAAACTCTTAAAATTGTCCTTGCGGAGTGCAAATACATTGTACATCAAAAATCAATTCCATTCGAGTGCATTTTACTGCCTACTCTAAAAACGTTATTGCTTATCCAAATTCTCTCCCCAACATAATATTATTATCTCAGAAAAACAAATAACTCTCTCTCTCTCTCTCTCTCTCTCTCTCTCTCTCTCTCTCTCTCTCTCTCTCTCTCTCTCTCTCTCTCTCTCTCTCTCTC